TATTTGTGTTAATTATATATGAGTAATTCTTTCATATGTTGTTTGGCCCCTTATTCCACACACCAATGGTATGTGTGTATTTATTTATGTACTAATATTTTCTATATGCGATGCACAAAAATAGATGCTCAATATTAGTACTTTGTATTAAAATTTTAAATTTATTTAGATTTTAAATATTGATAATATTGTAAATAATAATAATAATAATAATAATAATAATAATAATAATAATAATAATAATAATAATAATTTCAATTTTAGTCCTATGACTATTGGAGTTTTGTTAATTGCAATCCACGACTTTTAAAATTGTTAATTTAGTACCTTAATTATTCAATTTATATCAATTTTGGTCTTGTTAATATTATTATTATTATTATTATTATTATTATTATTATTATTCAAGAGTTATTATTATTATTAATTTTTTTGTTAATATTATAATGTGTAATAATAATAATAGTAATATTGTTGTTGTTGTTGTTGAATAATACTAGTAAATACGGTGTAACAAAATTAAATAGGAATAAATGAGGTATTACCAAATTAAGCTATTAATGAGAATTATTTAGGAATAGTTTAATATCAGGTTTACTGGGAATAACTATTTCCTTTGAAAAAAGAATAGATTATCAAACGATAAAATAAGTATTTAAAAAAAATGTAATTCCATTCTCAAACTATTCCCTGAAGGATTATGTTGTTTGTACGTCTTCATTACATTTTTCTAAATCTGAATCTTATTGTCACCTGGATGTGCAACCAATAAACACAGTCTTTTTTGATAAGACCATATGAAAAAATGCATCCATCAGTTCATCACTACTAAATATCCAAAAAGGTGACACTGATGTGATTTTTTATTAGTTTATACCATAAAAGTTAGCGCGCGCGCGCGCGCACACACACACACACACACACACACACATATATATATATATATATATATATATAGACACACAAAAATATCTCTGCTATAACTGCTAAGTATATATAAATGTATAATACATATTAATAATAAATATATTTTTAGTTGATCGACAAAGTACACCATATATTTAGTATAAACAAAAAGTGTTAAAATATTTTGTCTCATTATAATTCTTTATCAGTTAAGATTACAAGAACGAATTATTCAGTATATATTTTCATATAACAGTTAAAAAAAAATTTCGTCACAAAAATGTCTTGAAATATTTTTTGAATACAAGAACAGAGCAAATCTTGAGATTATGTCATGATACACTAAAATATCATTTTAGTGTTATCTGACAAATAGGATAGGCTCCTTTTAGCCTACTGCCATTAACACTACTTATGTATGTACTAGTTTAGTGGTAGGTATGGGTTGATTGATTACCCAACTCACTAACTACAAAATTGTTGATAATCATACACATCAAGAGCTAGCTTTCTAGATTAATGTGAATCATGTTGGAAAACTAATTAAATTTAGCATAAAAATAGTTATTTTAAAGTAAAATTTTGAGTGAAGTTTATTTTATATTTAGGTATTATCAAAGTCGATTTGGGTTCTTTTAACAGCATTTTAAATACTTGATTTTGAGGAGAGAAAATGGAGGAGATCAGAAGGGCTAGGAAAATATGGGGAGAAAGCATGCAACCTTCGGAGAGATTGTAATCTTCAGATGTTATTTAATGCGATACACTGACACGCTGAGGGTCAGTTTTATAATTAAAAAATTTGTTTAAAAATCAAGCTGTTCATATATATATATATATATATATATATATATATATATATGGCTTTAACTTGTTATTCGAATTTTTAATTTCTATTTTTAATTTGTTTTTGAAATTTTTAATTATATTAATGGTCAGTAAACTTAGTATTTAAAATTTTGTATTCGATTTTGAATGTTAATTTGTTCCGTAGACGATTTCAAAGGTGAATTTTAATTTATAAAATTATATTTTGATTAGTTTATGTAATTATATTGTATAATTTTAAAATTATTTTATTTTGTTATTTACATTTATTTTTATTTAAAATCAAATTTGAAATTATAATTATAAAATTAAAATTATTAATTATAGAAAAGTGAATACAATAATAGATGATGTATACAAGTGTGGAGGAGTAGGGCTGACAAAAAAAAAAAAAAAAAAAAAAAAAAAAAAAAAAAAAAAAGAGAAAAAGGGAGAAGGATTGGAGAAGAAATATGTGAAAATTATATAATGATATAGAGTTGTGCCCACAAAATTGGGAGATAAAGGGAGAAGAGTTGTGAATGCCCTAAGTGAGAGAAATTGATTATCCAAGTGAACACATTTGAGTTAGAAAAAATGAAACTGGCCTTAAGAAATTTTTGTCTCACATTATAAAATAAAATGTGAGTTAGTACTAGCTAGTATATATATAATTCTACTTTTGAAAAAGTTTGAATTATATATCATAGATCATAGATGCCCTATCTTGTGCACAGAGCAGTTTAGACTCACGTTTTCATGTTCTTGGTGTCATTGAGAGGAAGCGAATCGAGAATATGTGCACTTAGCTAGAATTACAAAGTTTTGGTGTATGTACCCCTAGTTAATGTCAACAAGCTGTACTCTAAATGAATATTTAGTTCCATTTTTTGTTAAACATGTTTCATGTCCATTTGTTAAGTGTTATGCAAGGCTTTGTTTTACAGAATTAGGTTGATTTATTTTCTCATTCTCAATTGATCAATCAAAAACTTCTAACAGAACACAAAGAATTGTTACTGAGTTTTGGGTAGCACTCTTATAGGGAAATATAAGAATTAATACGTCATGTATTGTGTGAGTTTACCTTAGTAATATTAGGGTTAAGTTTCAATTAGTTAGGGAAATTATAGCGGCCCTGTTTGGTAAAAAAATTGGCCTATAGGCCAATTTTGACTTATTTGACCACTATTAATTGTTTGATTTAGTTAACATATCAATATAAATGTTTGGTTAATTAGTTTTTTGCAACTCCAAAAAGCTAAAATTTAAAAAGCTACTCCAAACAACTTTTTCAATTAGCTTTTTGAGAAAAGAAATTATACCAAACAACTATCAGCTACTAATTTACCAAACACTTTTTTACAATTAGTTAATGTTACCAACTATTTATACCCTCTAATTAACATAATCAGCTAACAGCTAACATCTATCAATAAAGGGCATATGCCACCGTATTCCCTATATAATATCGGGCGGCATTTAGCCACCATTGCCAAGTTGTTGCATCATGAGCCTGAGTTAGAACTGGTGGTACTCCATACGTAATTGGATTGGTTGGTGGGACATATGGGTTATATTCTGAGAATTGGGAATTGGCACAACCGGCAATTAAAGTCCAAACACAAGTGTCAAATGGTGAATTGCCGACCTTTGTGCACAAGATAGGGCATCTATGATATATAATTCAAACTTGTGAACAAAAGTCGGCAATGTCGATGATGTGGTATTCTTCAAGGAAGAAGTTTTGATAATGATTAGTCATAGCTTTCGGGAACGGTAGACTGTTAACTTGACTTACTCTCCCTCAATCTCTAAAAATTAAACAACGTTAAAAATGATATGATTAATTACATAATATACGATCCGGATTGGCTCATTCCAAATAGGTCAAGTGAACTGAGGCCGGTAACAGGGATAATTAGGTCGGATAGGTCTCGGGTAGTTGAAAAGTGAAAAATCATATTCCTACTGAGTAATAAATGCACCTTATATAGGTGGCTTTAGGGACACATGTCGGGGTTCTGACATGTTCTGTACGTGGAATATGCGGGTTCATTGGTCAGGAGACACTATGCAAATGCCTTAAGGAGATTAAAAAGGGTGATGGGGCGTGACTTGACTACTTTTTTCAGTCCGAGAAGGATGCGAAGTAGGTTTGTGGGGAGGAATATGCATTATCCCAGTCTGATTTGACCGGGGTGATCGGGAAGCGTTCTAGAGGGACTTGGGGTCGTTCAGTTCTGGTCGGTTTACCTTGCACACGTTCGATTATGCACGTATAAACCCTATCAATTACAAGTTTCATGATAAGTAACTCTTCAACCCAAATATTACATATTGATTGAAAAGTTGATGGAACTAAATGACCCGGGTTCTAAACGGATCAAATTAGCTCGCATAAAATATATGGATAAAGTGGATATATAATTGAGTAGAATTTAGTAGTATTGAATAAATTAGAGCTAGAATATTAGAATAAGCTTGTAGTAATAAGACATAATGATTGTGATATTTTGTAAGGGAAAAAAGCATGAACTTTAATAACTAATTAAATAACAATTTATACTTATTGGAAATATCCAACTAACTTTGCTGACTTTGTGGTGGGCTACAAGACTAAGCCAAACCCCCACGGTATTCGTTGGGTTTGAGCCAAATCCAGCTTCCCAAGCCTTGGAGGAGGGATCCGAGGGTGGAACAGTGATCGTCTGGGGTCGGTTGTAGAGGTCGAGGGCTCGGACCTGGGACTTGGGTCCTAGGTCCCTGCATTTTGGCCCCGAAGCCAGAGGGTGGAAAGGTGAACGTCCGGGGAGGGCCGTGGAGGCCGGAGCCCGGACCTAAGACTTGTTGTGCAATAATAATAAAGACTCGTGCATGGTAAACAAAACAATGACAAAATTCATCCACACATTACTTTTTTTTTTTTTTTTTTTTTTTTTTCTTTCCATTGGCGTGAAGGTAAAGTCCATGAAAGGAGGCCGCATTGTAATTCGGCGGAATTGCAAATTCCTCCAAGCAAACAATAAAATTTTACAAGCTCATAAATTATATTGGAAAAAAATTACAATTCCATTGTACCAAACACGCAGGAAAAGTCTCAAAAAAGTTATTCACAAAAGTATTTGAAAATTGTGCAGATGAACCAACTTATATTCTTCTTTACAGAAACTACAGTTTGTGGGTATACTGTTAGTTGATGAAGAATATAGTTAAGTTTTTACATCATGTAATCTGACAATAATCTTCATAGTGGATGAGTAAAAGCTTCATTCCATTATGTAAAAAAAAAAAAAAAAAAAAAAAAAAAAAAATTGGGCACACAGGCTTTACATCATATACATCCTGCCCCTATTAATAGAGAGAAGAGAGTCATTGTAATGAACATACATGATTGCAACCTCAATAACCAGCAACCCGTTTCTATGGCTTTTCCAGCGATCCATCTGCTTTGGTGGGCGGTTTTAGCTCACTATATCAGAGCCAAAAGTAAACCATTGCCTGTAATTACCAATATCGTTTAAGTGGTCAGGTTTTCCTTGTTTCTTTTGCATATGTATATATATATATATATAGGAATGTGTAAGCAAGAAAAAGTGTTACCTCCTTGAGAGAAGCTAGGGATAGCTCGTTGGCTTCAGATGAAGAAGACTTGTTGGTTTTCAAATCAGTAACCTCGGTGTGCAACGAATTAAGTTGTGCTTTGATCTCATGTAACAAGTTGAGCAATTCTACTTCCCTATTGGGGGACGAGGGGGAGGAGGAGGAGGAGGAGGAGGAGGAGGGTGGTGGTGGTGATGATTCTCTCTCGGCCTCGATTATCTCAGATGGCCTATCGGGCTGAGGAAGCGGCTCGTGCGTTTGTGAATCGTGAGCGTTACCGCTTGATGTTGTGGGCTGATGAACGTTTTCGAAATTTATGTTAAGAACAGATGTTGACCCTCCTTCGCTGAATCTTCGTGCATTGTTGTCTTGACGACGAGGAGGAAATGCGAGCAGTCTCTTGAGCAAATCCCTTTTATCTTTCTCGGATAAATTTAAGGAGTCCTTTGGGAGAGAATCCGGTTTTTCAAGCCTCGTATTGCAATCCTGCTGCAAAGTAAGCTTTCCCTCGTTTCTTATAGGCGGCATTGGGATTTCATCGTCGGTTTGAGGAACTTCAAAAACATCAAGGACATTCGGGGAGCGAGGGAAATCTGTATTGTTTTCATTTTCGGAAGTACTTCCCGGATACTTAATACTTCGATCCATATCGCCTCCTCCTCCGCCCCCTAATCTTGTTAGATCACAAGTAGAGCCTCTTAGAGAGGAGAACGGTGAGGGAGACCTCGTTTCACGCCTAAAATTCGTGTGAATTGATGGTCCCGCTCCAGCTCCAACTCCAACTCCAACTCCCGCTATCAATTTCACTCGTTCGTCTAATTTTCTAATCTGTTCCCAGTATGAAGTGATGCCCCCGCTCCCGCTCCCGCCCCCGCTCCCGGTCCCGATCCCGGTCCCGGCAGCATAGGTCTCGGTTTTTTTCTCCACATAATCTGAAGAACTATGAGGGGGTTCGTTCATCATCATCATCTCGTGGCATATCTGCTCACGCTCATCGACTAACTTTGAGCCGAACTCAACCTCGGGGCTAGGAGAGTTCTCTCTTCCATTAGCACTCCTCCTTAACTTGAGAGGAAACACGGGAAAAGAGTTCCTCCTCGAGAGGCTCTGAAGACCCGCATCTCCCATTACACTCTCGTTCAACTGCAACAAATGCTCGGGGAATTTGATCTCGGTGGTGCCCCCAGGATCAGCACAGCCCAAGCTCATCAGCTTGTACTTGTAAGACTGCACCTGATAATCTAGTGCAGCTATCTCCATTTCCTTCTGAAAGATAAGGTCTTCAAAAATCGCCAACGCTTCCTCGGCATGGCACATCTTTTCCTCCGCCAACCTCTTGTATTGCTCCGCCTCCATCTGCACCGTCGCCTTCTCCCCCTGGAGACGCAATATCATCGACAACGCCTCGCTAGCTGCGCTAGCCGACGCTTCCCTTTCCACATCCAATTCGCCGTAAAGACTCTGGAGAAGCTTTTGCTGTGCACAAAGTGTTTCTTTCAAAGAAGCTATATCAACTTGTGATGATACCCCCCCACCCTCAGCCATAGCAACCACCACTCTACAACCTACAACACCTGTTGCATTCACAATCAAAATTACACAACTCAATACTATTAAAAACAAGAAATTTCTTCGTTTTTGTTGGGCAAAGGCCGGTGAAGGGCTATGCCCATCAATTTGTTGGGCAGAGGCCGGTGAAGGGCTATGCCCATCAATTTGTTGGGCAGAAGCCCGGTAAAGGGTCATCACCATAGCTAGAGGAATTGTTAGACGGAGACCAGTAAAGGGTCAAGTCTGCCCCTCGAAAATGTGATGTCAGTCGCTACTAACTACAGTTTTTGGCATAATGGTAAGCACTTGATCTGAATGTTTTTTTTTTTTTTTTTCCAAATAACAAAACAAATTATACAAAATCTCAACAAGATATGAAATTTTAGCAATCCATGTAAGAAAGAATATTGGGCATATGTTTGCAATCAAAAGATTCAGAATCTAGAAAAAAACTGCAAAAAGACAAATCCAATAATTCCATGTCATCATTTTCAATCTTCAAGAAAACTGACATTTCTACCAATGGAGGAAATCTATATATAAAATCAAGCATGATGATCACAGCATAAAAACAAAACAATTTATATTATAATACATATGATTATGAAGAGAGAAGAGATTGAATTTACCTGAAAAAAGGAGAGATGAGACAGAAAATGCCTATCACACATCTGATACAACAACAATCTGACTAGGACAACAACAACTACAAGAAGGAGAAGAAGAAGAAGAAAAAAGATCCTAATCAAATGATATTTTTGAAGAAAAAATGATGACAACCAAGAAACGGTAACTCTCCCTCCCTAATCCCCAAGAAAATGATGATCGAATTGAATCAGAAGGGCAACCTGATTCAAATTTTTGAAGGAAAAAAATGCCCCAGGGAGGAGAAAAGGAGAAAACCCATTTCTTTATTGGCGTAACGGCTTCTTGGTTTGTCTTTTACAAAAAGGAAAAAGGGTGCTATGTTCTTGGATTGGATGGTTCGTTTACATTGACCCGAATTGTAAGGGAGTTTAATTATCCAGAAAATTGGTACATACAAATTCAAGGCTTTCGCTCCACGATAAAAATTATTGGTTATGAATTGGATGGTGGGTGGGTTTTACTAATTGGGATGAGAAATGGTTTTTTTTTTTTTTTTTTTTTTTTTTTTTTTTTTTTTTTGTTCTTAAATTGTGAGAGATTCGGGAGGGATTGAAATTGGCCAAGGAGAGAGACATGAAAATATTGTGGCCAAATTTGATTTATCCACCATTCTATCTTTCTACTTCATATGATTAGTTGTTGGAAAGAGAGACAGTTCATCAGAAGTAAAATTTGTCACAAGAGATTAAGAATAAGTCTTACCCAGTACGTAGTAGTGCAGTGAGTAAATTTGGAGCGGGATTCCACTTTTTGTTACAAGAAGAATTGTTTATTTGCATATGAATTTCACTCACATCTATGGATATGATGTTTATAGGCATGACAATTCGTTATTATTAGGTTGACACGGTAACGACACGCATATAATAATACTAAATATGAAAACAACCCATAAAAGCTAATAGGTGATAATTCTAAGTACGAACATAATTTTTAAACGGATTAACACGATAAACACGTTTACTTAATTAACAAGTTTCAGACTTACACAACACGATACGACACGGTAACATGTTAAAACCCAACTAGGTATGTTAATATAATTTCCTTTTATAAAATAAAACTTTAGAAATAACTTTTTTACTAAATTCATAATTAAATCAACAAAATAGTATAGATATTTAATTCATAACATATCATAATATTCATAAAATAATATTTAAAAATTATAACTAATGTTAATATTAATAGATTAAATGGGCTCTTAACTAGAGAATTCATTAATGACCCGAGAGATGAAAAAGGTATCACTAACCCTTCATTTTCATCTCTGATTTAATGGTCATGCTAATGACTTATGTCATAAAGTGACAGGAGTTATTCATATAATTATGTTTTTGTTGTGAAAAAAAATATATGGATATTACTATAGGTATTATATTATGATAATATATCTTAATTCTTTGTAATATTGTAATTATACTAAAATTGTTTCTTATATATATTATTATACTGAAAGATATGATGATTAATAAAAGATTGATGATTCTTTTTATATCTCTAGTCTTCGATCTTTTTACTTTACTATATTCCTATTACCTTCATGCAATCGAGATGATACACTGTTCACACGAGGATATATCTCAATTTCACAACACTTTTGCTTTATTTTGATTCTTATTAATTATTATAGGGAAAATGACACTTTTTCCCCCTTTGTTATATACTTATAACACTTTTTCTCCCTAAATTATTTAAGTGGCAGTTTTTCCCCCCGATATATTAAATGGACATATTTACTCTTAAAATAAATATTTCATTTATTTTTCTTCTCCAACAAATTATAACCACGATTTGAAAAAATAAAATACATTAAGTGTTGAATTTAGAATATTTTAAAAATAAAAAAATAAAATTTTAAAAGAAAGTTTGAACCAACCGTTCAAATTGGATCCAAAATCGTGAACCGAAGGTTCAAAATAAAACTCAAACCGCGATTATATATACTTATATGTGAGAGTCAATATAAATGCGGAAAAAAAACATACACTATTTGCAAATATTATAATTCTAATTTAAGCTATTGCTAGTAGTTGTCCGATTTGAACCTCCGGTTCACGGTTCAGGATCCATTTTTTTCCAGTTCACGATTTTAATAAACGGAAACCCAAATATTGGGTTATGTTATGAATCATAACCGAAAATTTTTAATTTGATTGCTATAGTGTTTGGTTCAGTTCAAACCGAACCATGGTCATCCCTACGTATAAGCAATAATTTGTTGAAGAAGAGAAATAAATAAAATATTTATTTTAAAGGTAGAAATGTCCATTTAATATTATCAGGGGAAAAAATCGCCACTTCTATAATAATTGAGGGGGCAAATGTGAATGTATGAATAACTCAGGGGGAAAAAGTGCTATAAGCATATAACACAGGAGGAAAAGTGCCATTTTCCCATTATTATATGAACGTTTTATAATATTTTCCTTTGATTGAAGACTTTTTCTAACCAAAGCAAATATAAATGAGTGTGCTTTAGCTCAATTGATTATGAATATTTAGCTGGATTGGTACTTATATTGTCCTTCATAGCGAATTCTTTCAAGACTTTACTTTATATAATGATGCTTCTTTTGGTTAATAAATTAAAATCCCATTTCAAGACTTTAATTACTTTATATAAATTCCGATCCCTTGCAATGATATAATAATTAATATGGAAATGGCATAATGTCACGCTTAGAAATTAAGGTGGGGTCTAGTTGGAGATTTTTTACCACATTATCGAATTTTATAGTAATTATTATACTAGTTAGAACATGTGAGTATTATTATTATTATTTTATGTTTATAACTTATGGTTAGTTTTATATGGTTAGAATAAGTCTTCTTCTTGTATCCGGTTAGATAGGAGTAGTTAGAGATAGACTCAGATATATTCTCCTGTAATCTTATCGTTCTGCATTGAATTGAATTTTGAATTCTCATCTGGTATCAGCCTAAACACGATCCGCCACCGCAAAACACCTAACCCCCTCTTTACCCATGTCATCGAATTCATCGGAGCGAACCCCGTCCACCGCCGGTGGCACGTCTCCGGCAACGCTAACCCCTTGGCCGGCGCACATCATTTTATTTCCATGAAACTCAACTCCAGGAATTTCTTATTTTGGAGAACGCAGCTCATCCCTTTTCTCAGAGGACAGGATCTGATCGGGTTCGTTGATGGCACCACCCCGTGTCCGCCGGCGATGATCACTGCCGTCTCCGGCGCCACCACCACCACGGCGTCGACCCCGAACCCGGCGTACAAAGCGTGGGTGCTCCAGGATCAATCGATCCTTTCCCTGCTAATTTCATCGATGTCCGATGAAGTTCTACATCTTGCGGTTGGCCGGAATACCGCCGCCGAAGTCTGGACGTCCATCTGCACCGCTCTCGGCTCCAATACGCAGGCGAGGTGCCTAAGTTTGCTAGGCCAGTTCCAGGCGCTACGGCAAGGGGCGTCGATGCCGGGTGATTACCTAGGGAAGGCGGAGCTACTGGTTGAAGCTCTTGCGCAGGCGGGGCAGCCGTTGTCCATGGCGGAACAGAACTTGTATGTTATGAGAGGATTGCGACCAGAGTACAGGGCATATGCGGCTTCCCTCACTGCCCACGCACCGGTTTCACTGCCGCACTTGGCGGATCATCTGCAAGCTGCCGATTTCATCTTGGCAGGTGACTTCGCAGATGGAGGCGTCAATGGCGCACTTACGGCCTTATATGCAGGTCGAGGCAGTGGCAGAGGCGATCGTCACTCCGGTGGCACTCACAGTGCCGGCGATGGAGGCCGGCAGTCCAATTGGCGAGGCGGACCTGGTGGTCGGAACCAGCATGGTGGCCGGAATCAGCGTGGGGTCCCCGTTGTTAAATTTGTCGATCGCAGGGGCATACCGCGGTCTATTGCTATAAGCGTTACACAACGCAACCGCCCGCGCAGGCACATGTGGCCGTTTCCGGCGAGTCACCGGTCACAACCGCGCCATCGGCCGACGCGTGGTATCCGGACACGGGTGCCACGGCCCATGCAACTCCCGAAGCCGGCATGCTAATGTCCTCGGAGGACTATAATGGTCCGGATATGGTTAGAATAAGTCTTCTTCTTGTATCCTGTTAGATAGGAGTAGTTAGAGATAGACTCAGATATACTCTCCTGTAATCTTATCGTTCTGCATTGAATTGAATTTTGAATTCTCATCGAACACGCGTTTTGCGCGAATTAATTAATGCTCAATTCGTATAATTAAAGCAAATAAATAAAAGATAATCACTACAAGGATCATAGACAATTTTCTTGAACTTTGCAGTTTCTCCTTCAGATGTTACATATATTATATATCTCGCATTCTTCATCAACTCTACCTAAAGCCAGATAAGAAATCATGCATACATTACAAAATTCACCATGTCACCATGTGTGGAGTACGATCTAAAATAACTTATATATATAAGCTCTGTGAGCCACAAATCTTCATGATATTGAGACATACTCATTCTCATTGTTTGACTCCTCATCATTTCTAAAATTTATTATTCCTAAAAGCTTTCCTCAATATTCAATATTCATGAAACAAACGAACTGTTATTATTACCTGGTTCGTCTTGTGCTTCTCCTTTTGGTAGTCGGCAAAGACCAAATTCTTCTGATTGTCAGTATCGTATGGTTTGGCTTGTGCTTCTCCTTTCGGTAGTCGGCAGAGACTAATTTTTTTCAAATGTCGGTAGTAGGCAGAGATAATTTTGTACTTTTGCTGTCATAATTTGTTTGAAGAAGACCAGTAGTTAACTGCCATCCAATTTTACTTAAACTACAAAATTATCACTGTCACTTGAGCTTAATAGAATTTGTTTAATTTGACATTTTAATTTGGTAAAACTAAAAAGAATGAGGATAGATTAGGATTTTAATTTGGCGTTGTACAGTTGGAAGAGCACAAAGTACAATCTTTGATAGCATATTATTACACCAACATTTTTTTAGTTCCCGTTAGGGGCCTAACATTAATGACAAGAGGAGGCACATTAGACTGAAACATGGAACATGAGACAATTACTCATGGATGGAGTAATAACTATAGAACATGTAAGATGTTGGTAATCCATTATAATCTTCTCTATAACTAAAAATGTTTCAACAAAATCTTAATTAATTTTTAAAAATAAGTATATAATTGTCAAGTGCATTGTGGTTTGATGGCATTACTGTTATTTTTCTAACAAAGTTTTCAGATTTTAATCTCATCCCAATTGTTGAACAAATATTATAATTATTAAAAAAGTTTATAATTAATATAATAATTGT